ATCGTTTCGTATCACTAAATAAAGACATTTCAGCTTTCCTACTCTTTAAGACATGTACCCTCTTTTCTTATGACGGAACCTATGTGTTACGCATTTCTACCTCTTTTCTTTTATCCTAGTACTACTCTATATTTCATCCTTAAGGTTTCTGTCCGACTACCGACTGTACATCAAAGAAACCTTATTCAAAATGGCACCATACCCACCTCGGAAGGACGACATCCTATCTAACTGATTGCAGTAGCTTACGGGAGCATCACAAACTGTTATCTGAGCGTTGCATGATGAATTTTTTTTTTCTGCCGCTGACTACGTGTACTGGATGAGGCATTTCCCGCCCTCGACTAAGACTAAAAACATAACAAGGAGATATTGGGAACGACTAGATCTGGACCGCCTTCGTGCTGCAATCTATTAGCTCGGCTACGCCGCACTAAGACCACATATTACGAGTATTCATGACTATCGATCGCCTTGAACTCGGCGCCATTCTAAACGCACAACATAACCAATCCGGATACGCTCACCGCTACAAGCTTGTCCGCTATACTACATATCCTGCCGCTTCTCCACCAGGTATTGCTTCAGTAGGTACAGACAGGGAAGCTTCGATATGCGTCGATGACTTAGTAAAAGTGTCATAATTATATTTCCTATTTCTTCTTCTCTCCGTACTGTTACTGCTCTACTGCTTACAGAACCTTGACTATTGTTTTGGTGGATCACTGTACATATTGCTATCCTTGCTGCAGCAAGCCATTTTTCTTCATACTTACCTACATTACCTACCTACCCAACCTAGGTAGGTAGCTTACAGCTGTAGCTAACAGCTACAGTACAGTACATGCATAACCGAGTCGAGCACGAAAGCTTTCTCCCTTATGCGGGCCGGGGCTATTCCACCCATATGCCAAGCCTCCCTCCTTTGGTTTTCTCTTTAACCTATTACCTATCACCTAGGAGGCCTCCAAACAGCCTCCACAGCAACTGCATATCCGCTTATACGATTACATAAAATAGGTGGATTAAGTACCTAGGAGGTAGGTACTTAGGTTTCCGCCCCGAGTCGGTTCTGACATCCGGAAGTTTCCCTACGTGTATTACAGGTATGTCGTAGGGCTATGGAGACTTGGCTCTCAACTAGATGAGATCTCAATTGGACCCAGGAGTTTGGGAGGGGTTGGCAAGTTGTGACAGAAACTTATTCCGATCTACTTGGGAAAACTGAGATCTCGTGTGTGGGTTTGATTATTGGAATGATTGACCCTTGGCCCTAATTTGCAGTTATCAATGTCAACAACGATGTTCTAATACAGGACAACATTGGGGTAGTTATCCCTACGCTCGAATTGTCATTCGGATTCATTACTGCTTTGGTGGCTGACGTCATGAATCTGGTTTTCACAATTTCACAAGCTTTCATCCATCTGTTTAAGCTTATTCACATCTAACAAATTAGGATGTCAATCCGACCAGCGTACATATTCATATTCATATTTCATCCATCCTAGCGAATTAATGCATATGGACGTAAAACGATATCGGGAACACGCATTATCTGATCATCCCATCAGCAGCAACTGGCCATCTAATACGTCCCTGTCAAGTAGCCGCTCCTTCATCTGCAACCATCCTGCGCGTCCCGCATCCGCGACGGCGCATTTGCAGGGAAAAGAGAAGAAAAAAAAAAGAAAGGAAAAAAAAAGGATGTAAAAGTATAACAACGAAATTCTTACATGTCCATCGACAAACCCGAAGCGGACAGATATCAATGCCAAGTCTTTTGGCCACCATGCAATGAAGATCAGATGCCTAGAATCCCGATAACCACATGTCGCACGATGCGTTTTGTGCCGATCATTATGGCCGTATTCGATGCTACTAACCTAATTTACGCCGCAAAACATACAACTCCCCGTTCCCGACCTGAGCATCATCCCAATTTTATACCAGTTCATTTTCTATTCGCTATGCATCTCAGGTAATGATGTTCAGGACTGCTTATACTTCCCCTATTTAACCTGGCGACTCCTACGGTTGAGCTGGAAGCCTCCGAATTCGCATTTTGTGTCACACCGCTCGTACCGGGTTAAGCAATACCTACCTTGAATTTGTTGTTCTCCCACTCTTCTGTAGAGTGGTTTAAGAGAGTGGTTTAAGAAAAGGAATATTCTTCATCGACTGCTTAGATACGGGGCATAGAGAATAATGACGGGTACCGTAAAGGCGTAGTAAGAAGGCGTGCCTATCCGGTCTCGTTATTAATCAAGGCTTCTCGATATGTCGGATAGGGTTTCCATCTTGAGCCTGTCCAGTCATTATAACATCAGATGGTAACGTGAAAAGCAACCGGCCTTTGTTGTGCACCCACACGGCGCAATTAATTCAGACGAGATTACCGGGGAAATTATCGACTGGTTCTAGATGCTAGGGGTGCTATCCAGTCGCCTCGATCGTCACATGTATAGTATAGTGGCATCCCATACCATTCACGTACATGGGGAGACGGGAAAACCTGGGGATATACAACCATAGAACACCTCTTTAAGATGTTAAAGAGCAGGGGATCAGAGGGGGTATTTCAATCCCCTGCTAGTCGTACGGTCGCTTAGTGGCGTCATATGCGGGATAGCTTTATATTGTACTTGCTATTTGGGGACAATACCCAATCATCGGCGTAGCCATCCATGCGGGTTGCGGCTATCGCCTCAATAAATCCCTCGTCCCCATGTCTATCCTAAAATATGTGCGGAACGTCGGTGTATATATCCTTACGTATGTTTAAAAACGTGGGATATCGATGTTTCAAGCTGGTAAGGTAATCCCCGAAAGGTAAAGAAGTCTACGAAGAAGGTCAGGGATATGAAAAGGGGGGGTGGTTGCGGAGTCTCGTACGGTGAGATTATCTCGTTAGCTGATTGACCGAGCAGAGCAGCCCTTCTAGATACGTTCAAGTGTTGGCGTTTTCTTGCGACGGCCCGTTCCCACCCCGGTTATCAATTGCCGAAGCCAAGCAAGACAACAATCAAGATTTCGAGCAAACGGGTCTGCAATCAGCGAGACGAAAAGTAAAAATAAAAAGGGGCGCGGCGCCAAGGTCTGCACTCGGTTCGTTGGAATCACCGGCCGAAAGTGCCAGAAGAAGGCCAGGCTTGACGGGTGATCTAGATTTGTCTCGCTTAACGAGACCGGCTTCTCTTTTTATTTTGGTGTGTGGTGCGGCAGTAAAGAAACCTGGGGTTAGGTTACCTCGAAAGGGTAGAGTAAGGCATTGGAGTTGGTTACTTTCGAACTAACGAACTAACTACATAAATACCTACTTAACTATACATATACAAATATGCATAGGCGGCACAGGACAGAAGAGGAGGGAGTAGAAGTAGATAGAGGGAAGCAGGGAGATGAAAGGGATATCATAGGAGGGACGGAGGGGATGTCTCCAGTCTTTAAAGCGCGAGGCAGACGATATCCTAGGACATACATGGCTGTAAGTTTTTTTTTTTTTTAAACAGACAAGCAAGCACACAAAAACAAACAAGTAGACAAGTTTGATATTGGATACCCCCCTTCCCTCCAGAATACTTACTAATAAAAAGCTAGATCGATCTCTATATCCCTCATCTCTATAAACAGCCTTGCCCCTTGTTAGTCCCTATTATGAAACATATCGGCGATGATAGCCAAACGGATGATTAGAGGTGTATGACCGCTTCAAAGACATCCGTCAGCCTCGCCAACGTAGCCTACATTGTGTCTTCCCTTTTTCAGCCTACTATATTCATCAATTCCTACACGTGCTCGAAATATCGCGTTTTCTTTGGCTTGCCTACGTATATTCCCTGCTGACCGGCCAGCCAGTTGTCTCCCCCCTTTTCCTTCTGTGTTGCTCTTCTCTTATGTTAATGCTATGTATACCACGTATACTATGTACAAGCACCAGGGTATGGTGAGCTAAGCTGGCTTATTCCCGCGGTGAGGAATGTCGTCTAGATATCTGCATTCGGTACCAATCTATGCATCTATATCTACCTACATATCAACCTATACGGAATATATATATATATATACATGCCTACATGGAAGGTCAACTACCACATATGTAAGTAGGTTGAGCAAGTATTTCTCAAACCGGCAACGAGCGAACCGTCTGCAAGTAACGCTATAGTGTGCGTGCCATGCATATGCTACGCAGTACATACGTATCATCACTCTGCTTGTCCAGGAGCTAGACACACATACACATACAGAGGAGAAGGGTAGGTAGGTGGCGGACAAATAGAAACAAATGTGATTCACATAATTATGCCCCGAATAAGTCAACAGCTCTCAAACTCCCTTCGGTAGCTACATCCGAGTTTTAGGAATGGAAAGCCAATCCAACCTATCAATCCCCCCCTCGGCGGGTACGTGTAGATAGGTACATACTACCATGCTGTAGCTTGATTATTGGCCACTTCCTAACCTACTAAGTACTTGGATTACGTAGATACCTCAACACCATCATACTAACAAGTCGAACCTGATCAACGGTTTCTTTTCACCCGCGTAGCATTCATTATGTAGAATAATGTCTCGTCTAGGTTAGGTTAGGTTAGGTAGATACCTACCTAACCTATCTCCTCCTATATTCTCCTATCACATGTAATCCCGCGAACCCGCGCAATACTAGAATTATTATTTGAGAGTGTGGTGAGAACCGACAATCATTTCCGCCCGTTCCAAATCCACTTTTCCTGTCTTTCCGTCCTAGCCCGAAACGCCCGCTCTGCTTGATTACATATACGCAACGGCGCTTCTATCGCCCTTTTGCTTCTTCTGTTATTCCCTGGACTGGATGGATATACTAAACAATCTAGAGGGGAACTACTCGCGAGCGAGTGACGCGTCATATCGTGACGGTTTGAATACGAAATATCATACCCCCTTTTTTTTTCTTTTTACCTCCCCTTTACGCTGCTCGTCTCTCCCGGAGACTTCGGAATGCTCACTAAGCGTTGTTTCTAGTTCGTATTCTTTTCCTTTAGGTCCTTAGTCGCGGCCATGACTAGGTTTGCGAACCTATGCCCTGTCTCTTTAGCGGCGTCGAATGCCTTCTTGGCACCGTCCTGAACTTCATGGCCCTCTCGGTCCACACGGTCCATCGTTCTATCTATTAAATTTGACACTCCTCCTAGAGCTGGCGAACTGGAGGTTGGTGATTTCGCAGCCTCCAATACCATATAATCGTCGCTGGTATACTTGCCCCTCTCTTGAGGTCCTACAAGTTTCGTGAGATAGGTCCTAGCCCGGCCTTTCTTCTTATCGGAACGGATACGTTTGATTTCCGTCTCGAAAGCACGATCATAGATATCAAAATCGATACCGGTAGGCGAGTCGGACACGATATCAGCCGCAGTATCAGAGGCAGTAAATCCGTCGTGTCCTCCCGTGCCGATACCTAAGAAAAGCGGTGCCCTATCCGTTACGTCGTGAGCATGGCCCTTCTCTTCTGCCCCAGGCGATGCCAGTGGGTGAGTCAATGCGTGCTTCTGAGCTGCAAGGAAAGCTCTGCGCTGTTTGACAAGCTCCGCAGCCTCCTCCGCGATCGATCTTTGACGTGCTGATTGCGCGATGGTCGAGGTTTCTGCAATTGAGGGTATGATTGTTTTTGTATCTTCCGGAATGGGCTCTTGTATGTTTTCTGGTGCGTGAGATAGTTGAAGTACTTTAATCTCGGGCGTCGCAACTCGACTTTTAGAAACGAGACCCTTAAACCGGCGAATTGCTTTCAACTAAGGTCGAACTCAGGTAAGTCTTTGAAAATGGGCATTATAGGGACAGGCAGCTCTTACCACACACATCAGATGGTCCATCTTTCGCGTGAATGCGTGGTTAACTTCCAGGGCATTCGGCGGCTCTACCACATCTGAACAGTTTTCTTCTTCGGAGAGCAAAGGATCAGTGCCTTCTTTTGTGACCCAAGAATGATTCTGCTTGATTTAGTATTCATCGTTACAGACTAGGAATGGGTAGACTTACTCTTATTTCTCGCAAAGTCAGTCTTGTCTCGTTGTTCTTATCTAGAATCCTGGTGATGAGATCTACAAAATTTGGATCTTCGTTGTCGGAAGGTATTCGAATTTCTTCGGTACGGATCGCATCATACATGTCCAGCACATTGTCCCGCTTAAAAGGTAGTCCACCATATTTGAGACAGTACAAAGTAACCCCCATAGACCATATATCAGCTGGTTTGCCCGGTACATCACCATGCCTGGCTTGGCAAAGCTCGGGCGGTAAGAAAGCAGGAGAGCCTGCAGATTTGCTGGTCATCATGTGATCCGGTTTCTCGAACATCTCGGACACTCCAAAGTCGACGATCTTGAGTACATCGTCCTCTGTTAGTAGGAGGTTGTCGGGCTTGATATCACGATGTATGATACCTTGAGCGTGTACTAAGATAATATAAAGTTAGTGGACGTGCGACAGGAGCCGTACCTCGATATGAACTTACGGTATTCTATGCCCAAGATGAGATCGCGAAACCATAAACGACATTGTTCGTCATCGTAGGGAGTTGCTTGCTCGTCCAAACCGACTTTCATAACAACGCCCTTCTTACACATTTCCAAGACCATGTATAAGGAGTCATTTTCAGGGTCGTCCAATACTTCGAATAACTGTACCAAGTTAGGATGGTTGAGCTTTTTCATGATAGCAACCTCCTCTCGTATTAGAAAGAGGGCATCCTTTGCTTCGGCAATTTCATGGTGGCTGAGTTGTTTTCTGTGGGCGCTGTAAAGACCCTGTCCCGGACCAAGCGATCGCGGCCTCCCACCTCCGGGTCTTCTCAAGATATTCGACTGGGCTCGTTTTCGGAGGCGCAATTTTGAGAATTCTTTAAGGGCCTATACGAGGAATGGTTAGACGGCTTCATGAACCCGAAACCAGTCGCGTGCGCTTACATATTCGGTTCCGAATTGATCGGTAGCAAGATGTACAGCACCGTAGGAACCTCTTCCAATCTCCTCTCGAATAGTGTATTGGTTGATGGTCTGTTGCGACCTGCCATCTGTCTCATCGTTCGTATACTCGGTCTTGGCATTGAGGGTTTCCTGCGACGGGATCTCAGTTCACGACGGCGTAGTAGTATGTTTCATCCCTTTCTCTACGGACCTTCACTTCGCGATGTTGAGATGGCGTCCTCCTGTGATGCCTCATAGGACTTTTAAAATGAGATAGGTCGGGCGGTGCAGACCTAGGCAAAGCGTTCAATGTCTTAGCTACACATCCACATACAATCCGCTAGACGGCCAAGACAAATCGCGGGGCAAAACCGGCGAAGTCTCGACTTATATAATATGCTTCCAAGACTCACAAGTGAGGGGCAAAGGACGGTCGATTGAACGCATCCGCATCTTGCTGGATCGTAATATGCGGAGACAGGGGCAGGCTATGCGTACTGTCGAATAGTCGCTCTTCGGATCCTCCTGATTCGATAAGTTCTCTAGGCGTTGGTGTAGAGGTGGTCGAGGTTGTGTTAGATGAGGTTTGCATCGTGGCGGTTTCGTTTATCCGTTTGAGGGAATGATGAACATCAGATATTGAAGAGTCGACTCTGTTCCTGGCGCATGACTCTCTCTAATTTGTTAATATAAATAAGAGAAGAAGAACAAGAGAAACATGAATAGTAAAAGGTCAAAGATTAGATAAAACAATAGAAATGATGGCTTTTTTAACATATGTAAACGGTTAGGTATCTTTCTGCACCATTCCTTCTTCTCACTCCCCCCCCGGACCCCGGCACAATGGATTTCAAAAGAGATTCAGCCCAAAGGCAACTAATTCGGCGATTGGGCGAATCATGGCCCCCAACTGCACTTCCATGATCCCTGTTGCTGCTGCTGCTGCTGCATCACATCCCCGCTGGGGCTCGAGGTTGTTTCTAGGGCTAATAACTGGAAGATAAGAACTTTGGTAAGTACGTTTTGACACACGACAGCATGCTCAACCCTTGAACAGCTGAATACCTACATACATGTAAACGTATAGGTAATGCCGGTAATTGAATGAAATAAGGATACTTGTTGAGAACAGAACCTAGCTAAGCGGTGACCCCTTTTCTAAATTGCTACGTGGTTGATGATATGTTTTTATAGTTTCCATATTTTATTAAAAAATAAATAAAGTATATAGGTACATTTAAATGTCTTATATATGTACCTACCTAGGTACATATTGACATCAGTTGATAACGACGCTACTGTAAGTGCTACTGTACCTAAGTTTTGGTCTTACTTTGAAGATTCAAGGTAAGAAGGCTGGACCCTCCCCACTGGATCGGCCCGCAAATATTGGTTCAAGTACTACTTAGAAATGTGCCGACTTGCCGGCCGCCGTTCTAATTCCCAATTCCTATGTAGTTCCCATTATTTTTAGCACCTGCATCATCAAACCACAATAGCGACAAGCAAAGCCAGTCCAGTCCAGTCCAGTCCAGTCCTTATCTCACTCTCGTCCGTCCGTCACGGGCATGTGATTTCCCCAGCTTGCGACCCGCGCTGGAGTTAGCTACTAGCAGCCATGCCTATACAAGTCTATTCGTTCTATATCTTCGACCGCCATAGTAAGATTACCTTGATCCTGTGCTGCCTACGTAGATCCCGGATGGCTACACGTAGCTCTCTATTATATAAATACCTAACTAATCCCTAACACTGCGCAGCCGAGTGCGTATACTCAAAGCTCTGGGTACCCCGGCCCTCATCCAGTATTGCCGGCCCGCTCCCATCACGGCCCCAATCGCAACAGCCGGCTCCGTCCCTCGCCGCCTCCGCCGCCGCAACAACCACCCTCACCACAACAACAGCAGCACCCTCCTCCGCTCCCCCATCAACAACCACTCCTCCCGCAAATGCCGCCGCCGCCGCCGCAGCCGCAGCCATCACCCGGCGGAAGAATGAGAACGACGCGAAGCTGATCTTCGGCACCGTGTTTAGCCTGCGGAACATGGTGCGCAAGCTAGGCGGCGATGACGACGCCTTCATCGCCTTCCGCACCGCCCACTACAAGCTGCACTACTACGAGACCCCCACCAACCTGCGCTTCGCCATGCTCACCGAGCCCGGCGCCCTCAGCATGCGCAACGTCCTACACCAAATATATATTAACCTCTGGGTTGAGTACGGTGAGTCTGGTCCGGGTCTTCTTTTGCTTTTTGTGGTGTTTTAGGTACATGAGGATGTGGCGGGAAGGGAGGGACATGTGCTAGCCTTGGGTTAAGAGAGAACTTGAGGATATCTCGCTACCGTATCATTGGGACTGTGAGATTATAAGAAATAACTGGATAAAGGATTGCCGTGTCTCTGGAAAATGAAGAATGCTAACATAACTACCCCCTAGTCGTCAAGAACCCCCTCTCACCGGCCGAGCACAAAGGCGGCGACGGTGTGCGGAACGAGATGTTCGAGATGGGGCTAGATAAGTTCATTAGAGGTCTGATGTGACGGTATCCTACGATATAGAATAGGCAGCGTGGTATAACACCGGTCTCAAGTAACCGAGGGAGTGAGCTTAGCCCTTAAGCAGTTCATTCCTGGTCAGCTTAGACGCTGAAAAACCAATCAATGCTGGGGATAAGTGTCCTAGTAGAGAGGATATATGGGTGGGTAGAGGGGTAGCATAGAGGCGCATCGCTTTCCCGGTACTGCGTGCACGCGGCCGAAGTATTTGGAGTTAGCATGAACTGCAAAACAAGGCATTGGAATTAAGAGCTGGAGATGGTATCATTAAACCCCCTCCGGAACCGAGAGGCATACTTGAAGCTTCGATATCCGCAGTACTGGTACATGTGTATATACATGTAATATAGCCCTCTATGTAAAGCTGGTTGAAAAGCCGGCAGTCGTAATACACGCGCTATGCTGTATCTCAAAGAAAATAAAAAATCCAACCCTATTATGTTCCCCCTTGTATGATCCAACGATGTGCATTTCATTTCATTACAACATCAGTACCCACAGTTCACATAGTAATCATGTTCTATCATGCCATGTCGCTCATATAACTCTCACTGATCTGTCGCTCGCTCCCATGCCGTCTCGAATGAGGACTGCGTCTGCGAGATTTGCGACTGCGACGGGTCGACTATGACCATGCTCTCTTCGCCTAAAGTAGAGACGTGCGAGAACCGACCCACGTTGCTGCCTTCTGGTACGTGCAGATTGCTATTGTTATTGCTATTGCTCGTCGTCTCCTCGGCGGCCCGCGCCGCAGCTAAGTTTTCCGAGTCCTGGATCTCGTTCTCCCAGTTGCTCGAATAGACAACGGCTGCGAAAGCTTCTAGGTCGCGTACCTGCTCCATCTCCTGTAGGTATTCGTTGGGCATACCGTTGCCGATAGCGTGGGCCTGTCGCGTCAGCACCGACAGGATCTTAGGCAGCAGAACAACCTTTGAGCCGGCAGCCCTCACGGCCGCCTGCTGACCGACTAGCGCTCCTAAGTCTGACGATGGAGGGGCGGTGAAGGGTGTTCCTGGTGTTTGGAAGGCGCCTGGCAGTACTTTCTTATATAAGAGAGTAGAGAAACCAGCGTCGAGGAGGAGCGTCAGAACACGCGTGAAGGGAGGAGACTCAATGAGGTCCGAAGTCTCGTCTAGGAGACGGCGGAGTGGCGTCTCTGAAGATGCCGATGCCGATGAACCGTCCGGTTGAACAGACGTCGCTGTGTCACCCAAGACGCCTGACTCCCGGAGGACGAAGTCTTCCATCTTAGTAGGGGGTAGTAGGAATGGCAGCCACTTTGAGCCTGGTCTCGACTCGCTGGTCTCTTCTGCCCTGCTCTCCATCTTCTTACGAACCTCGAGCGTAAGCTGCGAGAACGTGTCGAAGCTTAGTAGATCACGGGGACTAAGGTGTCCGAAGACCTCGCGAACGGCACCTTCAACATTCTCCATGATCTCAACCCAGCCGCGGTGTAGCAGCCACCAGCTGAAGGTCAGGTATTTCCGGTTTGTCTCAAAGTCGCTACCGTATGTGTGCTCCGTGTTGTCATCATCGTTATTTTCTAAGCTTATCGTCGACTGTGCTGTCCCTGTTGCTAGAGACACTACACTTGATAAATAACTACGTCGCCCCAAGAGATTGAGTTGGACCCGCGTGAGCATAGTAAGAAGGGCCAAAGTGTATACGAGAGTGAAAGCACGTGTTATTGCTAGAGAAACATCAATTAGCCTAAAAATAAAGAGCAGGTTTTGAATTGGCTTCAAAAAGGCGACTTACAGCTTATCGTTAAATCATCCCATAATTGTCTCTTCGTTTTTCTCAATCTCTGCACAGACTGCTGACCGCCATCTTGGGAGCCATCTCCTGCATTGGACACAGACGATATCGTCATCTGACTAGTAAATACGCCACTCTCGCTCGGTAAACTCGCGATACTCTTTCCCTCTTCTTCAGTTAAAGTAGTATCAGCAATGCTAGGAGGTGCAGCTGAGAATTCGCCACCATTACGCAGAGCCTTGCTGCCTTTCATTTGCTGAATCTCGAGCGTGATCCTTTCGGTGTTCATGGTCTCGAGTATATTCGTAGTCGCAGTCGGCAGCAATGCTAGGACTGTAAATGTGCAGTCTTCCTGGTTCTGCTCGAACCGACGTCGAAGGCTAGGGAATTGTTAGAGGGTTTATTCGTGGTTCCCGGAAAGAGGCTGTGACAACGCGGTCTTACTTCTCCTTCGCGATGCGATCGCTGCTCATGCGCTCACGCGCGTCGTTGATCTTATTCAAGACATATTGAGTAGCTAAATAGCCAGCGCCAATTACACCAGCACCAATGGCTATTGGAGTTCTATTACGGCGGAGCCATCGCCGTGTAGCTGATATCATGCTGGGCCCCTGAAGAAGGTTTCGGAGGTGGAAGACTTCGAAAATAGAAACAATGCTTCTAGTGGATAAACCTTGGGGTTTTGAGATATATATATTCCGTTGTAACTTTTTAGATTAGGTACCTTAGTATTGACCTTAGTATTGACCTTAACATTGGGAGGCTTGTATTGGAAGGCTCTAGGGGGAGCTTTTGAGTTGAGGTATGCAGCCAACCTGCAGCCAGTCCTTTCACTTGGAACATTTAATATGTAAGGTTCGGTTCTGACGTGTGCCTCGGTCCAAGCGCGCGAGTCGTACAACACGGTAAAAGGTACCTAACTTTAGGTACCTAGCCTTATTTACCTTAGCAGTTGATAAGATAAGTGCCTGATTGTATGTGCCTAGGTACCTACCTATGTATGCAGCCCCTGCAGCTAGCCTAGTGTGAGATTTTAGGTACCTTGTTAAGCTACTTCGTAGAAGCCACAGGATTAGAAGAATGTGGCTAATATGACGCATGAGGTAGTACACATGTATTCTTCCATGTATAGGTGCATTTTTCACCCCACGTTTCCAAGTCTTTCCCCCTCCGGCTCAGCCCCTTTGTCGGGACCCCTCCATCAGACGCATCAGACTGATGATCATCTATCCATCGTGCCGGCGTCTGCTGATAGACGACCTCGGGAAGGTCAACATTCCCTAAAACTTCATCCTAACAAACTCCATAACCATCCTCGACTTGGCAAATTATACTATGGAACAACAAACACCTCAAGAGTTCATCCTCGAGGCTTTTGCCGACCCAGCTTCCGTCCGTGATGTAGTAAGAGGTATTAAAAACCCTTCATCCAATCATATGCCCCGCGACCGTCATCATTATTGTCCTTCTACCTATCATCATCACTCGCTACTTCATCCATTCATCCATCCATCCGGCATCGTCCACGAAGCTAAATCCCCATATCCCGCATCCACCTCTGCGTCTCCCCACAGATCTGCCTACCTATAAATATATGTCTATATATCCAAGTAGAGGCTAACGCGTAATAACTCTCAACATAGGAATTTTACATACAATCTTCTTCCACCGGTTCTTCCCGTCGCTGCTGCCGCGCTCGCGCGAAGTCCTCGATATCACGCTACCGTACGTCGAAGATGCCGAACTAGATACCATGATCGAGAAGCGTGCCGCTGAGCTCGCGCGCGAACTCGATGCCGAACGAACACATTCGCACACGCATTCTCACCGCAGCGCTGGCGGCCGCGGTAACATCTCGGTCCAGTTCTTCGAGAAGAAGCGCCGCAAGACATGGTATCTTCCCTACGGTGGCGGCGACGAGGAAGTTTGCTGGGAGTCTTGGACAGTCAAAGTTACCGTAGCAGAACCTCGCACAGAGAGCGGTTTGTCTCCCTCTACCCCCATCTATCCCTTATTGCACTTCTCTTTATCTAGCTATCCACGCTAGGCATACAATCACCCCCTCCCTCACAAGCTACCCTTACATAAAACACTACAGTAAAACGAAATGTAGATCATACCCACTAACAAAACAACCCACGCAGAACGCGCCAAAGTCCGCAAAGCCATGGAGCAAACCCTCCTAACAAGCGTCATGAAGATCGTAACCAGCGTCAACACCCACAAAGACCACATCCCACCCATAACTACCAGCGAAGCCAACCCCTTCCCCTACCAAATCAACGTGAACCAAAAGGACGCAGGCTGGGCCACCCGAATTGGCATATACTAGGTATTGAAGCCGATACTACTTATTTAGGGTCCTCTGTCGGATAACACCAACATCAATATCGGCAATAAAAATGCTGTAGCTTTGTAGGAAGACATATATGGCTACGTAGGCGAATGCGGGGATATGCACATACATACATTAGGTAGGCAGGCGCAGGGACAGGACACGCATAGAATCCGGGTATAGGCTGGTCAAGGCAGGTATAATCTAACTTAGATAGCCAACCAACTAACAACTAAGGAGGGAGCGGAGGTTATAATGGCAAGGCAACGCATCGTGAACTAACGAGCGGGGAAGTGAAGGAAAGGGAACAGCGAGCACCACCAAAAGTATTCGGAGCGAGGGGAAGGAATGGGGGAAGGCGTTCATGTTAACTACCTGTAACTTTGGACTGGGAAACGGCGCTCAGGGAAATCTTGATCCCCCTACGATAGACTTGGGCTTCTTCGCGGATTTCGTCATGGTAGGCTGGTGTAATTATAACTACATCGCCGATTGATACCCCCCATCGTAAGTAAATATATTGTATGCACCGTGAGCTAGCTATACAAAGTCTTTCGGAGCGTCGTGATGATAGCATCGTATTAGTTTAGACATGTAAGCATGTTCTACAGCACAAGTCACAGCAGAAATAGGAACCATTATACGGATCCAAGATCGTTCGGATGAAAAAAAAAATAAGAGGTCAAAGTTGCGGTATAAGACCGGACTGAGTACTACGTAGATAAGTACCTAAGGCACTGATAGAAAAGCATCGCAAGATGAACCCCAACTCCAATGATTGACCGCCGTACATGGGCTATCCTAGCTGTCCGTCCGTCCTCGCAAATAAAAAAAAAGTAGAAAAATTATCACAAGAGCAACATATCCCATCTCAACCGAGTATGGGTCTCACCAACTCGCAAAACTCCTCCGGAGGCAATATGCCTCAACACAATTCCTTGATTTCCCGGCCTTCCTTTCTTTACAAGGACATTCCATCCAACCAACGCCTTATCGCATGCTTCCGCGTATCCACTAAAGATCATAGGCTAAAGGGCGCATGTGTAGGGGAGACTATAAAGATAGTCTACCCTGAATCTGCGCCAGACAAAACCCAAGCAAAAAGCAAATGAGAAAATCCAGATCTCATTATGTAGGCGTTGTGGTGAAATATGTACTTGACACGTATCGTCATTATGATATCAATAATAGGCAAGAACGCCGGCCGCGGGGCGAGAAGGTAGGCGAAAAGGTCTATATTCATCGAAGGTAAGCAGCGTATTCAACGCAGTCGAATCGAAGATATCCGGGATGCAATGAGGTCATTATTCGTAATCATCATCAATGTGATATGCACCCTTAAGGGTGTAGCGCAGGCGCGTTAAAATTTGGTCGTAAAACTACGACCTAGAGCCGGCTTCGAGGATTTGGAGGAAGCGGGTAGACCGCGAGGAGGTTGGCTACCGCTGATTCTCTCAAAGCCCTGAAGGATATCTATGCCTGTACCCTCGTCCGCATCGTCCTCGAAGAATTGGGAGGTGCAAAAGTCTTCTAGGCCCATCCAGTTGTTCTTTGTGGAAGAAACATTCTTTGTGGGAGACTGCATGAATATTTTACTGGGCGAAGATATGTCTTCGAACACCTTACTTGGGGTCTCATACGACAGAGGTGTAGTCGAAGTTGGTGCCTTCAGTAAGGGAGCCGACGTGATCGACCGTTTCGATGCAGAGTTTGTAAGGTCACCAAGGACACTAGCAGATATAGATCGGTCAAGGCGACCCCTCCTAGCCGAGCGCTTCAGGGGAGAGCCATTGTCCGAAGCACCAAAGAATTGATCTAAGGACTGATCTTGATATATATCAAATTCAGCAGGGTCCGTGACGAAATCGTTAAAGTTAAACAGCGAATCGTCTATTTGGAATGCTGGACTCCACGGCATTGTATCCTCAGTTATGTTGCTAACACGACGAAGAGGCGAATTAAGCATGGACCTAACATTGTCCCTATGTATGCGTAGATTCGTGTTGGGCGAAACAGAAGCAGGAGGCTTTGGGGGCGGCTTTATTTTAACAGCGGGTGTCAGAGGAGGCAGCATCTGACCAGCGCCGTTTGTCCGTCTCAGTGGTGATGAAGAGGGAGGGGCAAATTCAAAAGGACGTCCCTTAGTAGGACTATCATAGGATGAGGCACGAAGCCGCGCAATCTCCTCTTCGGCACGTCCTCGCTTAATTCGGGGACGATCAGTTCCAGAACTAAGGATTCGATTACCTCTAGGGCGCATAGCTGACGACTCTAAGGACGAGATATATCCACTATCATCCATACAGGCGTCCATTGAAGCGTACTTGCGTCCATGGCCACGCTTGTGAGGGCCAGATGAAGGAGGTTCTCTCCTAGTTGGGGGCGGAGTATTGCTCCGGGCTTCCATTCGACGAGGAATCGGGGGCGATGAATGTATAGCAGGAGGGAGAGGAGAATATGCGCCGCTCTCTGGAGGTTGCCCCTGTTCCTGGCTCTTGTCCGGTTGCTCTTCTGGTCCGACATTATCGGATAACGGAATAGTAGCATCAGATGAGACTTCAGGTGCAGCTTGACTTAGATCTTGTGATAACATCGAATCATGAATATATGGGTTCGGTTGTGCCGGGAGCACTGGAGGTAGAGAAGGTAGACCGTCATGGAAACCAGTAGGCTCAATTCGAGGAGGCTCGACCCGACTAGTCATAAAAGGGGTGTTTCCCATGTTCGTGGTAGATTTCTTACTTGGCTTCTCTCTCATAAATTGATGCTCCATGCCAGGCTCTATGGCCCAGTAATTACCCTTGCCCGGGTCATCCTTTGGTCGCTCCTGTTTGATAAAGGCCTTATTGAGGGAGAGATTATGTCTAATGCTATTTTGCCACCCCGCATCTTGAGCGCTATAGAAGGAGAAGTTATCCGAAATCCACTTGTAGATCTGTGAGAGTGTAAGTCGCCTTTGCGGGGCACGTAAAATTGCCATTCCGATCAGTTGAGCATAGCTATATGATGGTTTTGCGCCAGTATCCTCAATCGCAGGGAAGGAATCAGGTGGCGGTAAAGGTGATTCTTCTAATTTAGCCTTCTTCGCGGGTCTCGAGTCCTGAATTGGGGCGGCCTCGAGTAATGCTCGCTTCCGGGGTGGTGCATTTTGATAGTAATTCTCCAGGCTCAGATTGAAGGTAGATGGCGCGGGATATAGCGTAGGATGAACGTTTTCTTTTCCGTAACTTGCATTTGCTTCCACTAGCGGCTTTTGCACAACTGTCTTAAATCTCGACATTAACGGCTGTTTCTTCTGCATCGAATCTGTTGTCTGTCCATGAGACGCCGGCGGTAGTATCGATACGGCATTGAGCTTGCTGCCATGCGATCTGAGCGGTGTCATCGGTGAAGAAGCGGTGCGTCCGGTTGGCTTAAACGGTGAATGTTGTTTCGCGTGCGCATTAGGCGGATTAAATATTACGTTTCCATTTGAGCTCTGCAGAGCTCGGCGAGGAGAGTGCTGTTTATTAACCGAGGGCATCGGTGCCCGACTGATAGATGGGGCGGGCTGGTCCAAGTAGTCATCTTGAAATATGTGAAGCGGCTCAGAGTTGGCCGATAAAAGCGATGGTTTGACCATTTTGGCCAATATTTTTGGGTTGCTCGTCGCTCGGTAATACTATTATGTTTGCTATTGACGTCGGTTAAGATGTAGATACGGTTGATGTGCGACTTGAAGTGTAGTTCGTTTGTGAGTTCAGGTTCTTGTTCCCGCTTCTTGGACTGCGTAACGATTGAGAGATTGGTGAAAATGGAACGATCTAGTACTCAGTGAGAACTCACGGTGGGCGACTTTAATTAGTTGTGGATCCACGAAGCAAGGGTTGCCTGTGGCGCGCCAGATATCAGGCACTTGACGTGCCTAAAGCATAGAAGGTCTCAAAAGTGAACCGCTGTCGTAAAGTTCAAATAACGATATACACAATAGTCGCAGTAATGCTGTCATTGATATCGTAGATAGTAGTAATGGAGAAGGTTGCTGATGGATGGAAGGGAAACGATGGAGAAAGAAGAGGGGATGGGAAGGAGATGGAGATGGAGGAGATGGGGAGAGCCGGTTCGTGGGGGATCGAGATTCTGAATGGTTTCCTCGACCTTGAACTATTGCTGGTTTAGGTATGCGGGCGTTACAGGTGCGATAGAAGCACAGGAATGCCTTTGGGTCTTTTGGGTCAAGACCGACTAACAAAAGAGTCGAAGAGAGGGTGTGTCAAGCCTACAAAGGCTGCAGGGTCGGCACGCAGAGAATAGATTGAACCAGGACCGGGGAGAAGAGTGAAGACCGAATAGGGTTAATGGAAGTAGCATAGAGTAGCATAGAGTGTGCCGGGATTGGTAGAAAGCAGAACGCCAGCTCAGCAAAAGATCCACTTAGGTAGACCCGCCGGTGGATGTGCGGATGGGAATATGGGAAGATGGAGGTAAAAATGTAGAATAGGATTGGACGATAGCGTCGTGGGCTGACACAACCATGGCAAGTGCTAACAAGGTTTGTTTTAAACAAGACTTGACAGACCAATTTCGCAAGGAATGTCAAGAAGAATCCCAGTTTCTACGAAGTGGGGGAATTTGCAAGATGTGCTTCTGCACGTGTTATGGTTGGCCAGTTTTGATAAGTTATGCCGTCTCGAAGCAGGCCAGAACCCTGTCTTTGGTCTTTTTTTTTTTTTTTTTTTTGACCTTCGATTGCCGGATAGGCTGTGCAGGATAACAAGATAGTAAGATGGATGCGAACGATATGCTCGTAATTGTGAAGTGCTTGTTTGCTGGAGTTGTTTGGAGGTTGTCTGGGTGTATTTACTGTGGTAACGCAAGATATATCAGATGTTGACAGGTCGTGATTAGGATAACCTATCAACGATGAATAATGATGATTATGCTGATGATGGTTACTGGGCGAGGATTAAAGGCGGAGTTAAACGATCCCCAGGAATGAGAAGCAAACAACCTTAGGTATGTGGTATGTACCTAACGTACTGTTGGGACTCAGGACTCAAGACTCAAGACTCGGACTTGAAAAGGCCGCGTCGCACTGGTTATTCCCCAAAAAAAATCTTTAGATTCTTTCTCAGCTTGTATAGTAGTGACTAGCGACCGTGCAAAAGAACGAAGGTAGCTGAAGATGGTACGAGTGTTTAAAATTGGCGAGATAAAGTGAAAATGATTGGTCGCGAAGGTCGCGCGTACTTGCTGCAAAGTGTTTGAGGATTAAGAAGATGAAGAGAAGTGATTGGAACGCGAAGGCGCGTCGCCGTGGCTTCTCCTTTGTTATGCCTGAGGAGCGCGTCTAGCCAATCATAGTGATACCTTTAACTTCATACCACCTTGGCAAGCCATAAAAGGTTAATTATGTGCGTTACTGCATAAGAGGTGCATAACATGTACATAGTACGATGTATCTTTCCTATTATAGTAACCCATTTCGAACCTTGTCTTAGTCTTATCCTATGCTATCGGGTACCTGACCTAATTGTATGTAACTTAAGGTATGCGCATCTATTTGTTCTTAGACGCAATATTGGGAAAAAATGTATCAAATATAAATGTCATTATGTAAACCGAGGTATTCAATATCAAATATGCTCATTCCCTATCCTTGACAATAGAATGGACTTTTACGATTCTTAGTATTTACCTACATTTGTCTAAATACCTGCTTTCCAACCCGAAAGTATGGTTCGTATAGGAAAAGGGGGTAGAATTAGCACGAACATGTTGAAATTCTCAATACTACCGTCTTAATTCCACATCTGCCGGCGCCATCTTGATACGCCCGGACTAGTAAAACCAAGAATAAACCAAGAATACAATAAGCCATGATATCATGGCCTGATAGCCGGGTCCCATTAAACTCCATTCCTAATCCCGACGATCGCCTTAGGCCCATCTTAGACTAAAGCCTTGCCTGTCTCGATCTGACTCAACTTTCTAATTAAACTACCAAAACGTACTACATACTACATAACATGCTCAGACACGATCGAATTCTTGTTTCCGATCAATTTCAAGTACGAACTATTGTGAACCATTTATCCCGAACAGCTTAAAACAATGTCGTGAACATGCAGCAGAAAAAGTGCAAATATCTCTTGTATAACCATCCCTATGCGCCACGGTAAAAGCTACTGTACAACTCATCGCCATCCTTTCTAGCTTAATTAATTAAACGAGCCAGTCTATCAGTTCGGTAATGAACCACATCAACCGGGCGGCTGCCGGGATGAAGCCACTGCAGAATGTTTCCCAGCAGAGCAAAGTAAGTTCAGTTTCCGTTATGGGGCCGCATCCGTAGTCTTATCGTCGCCACATCGGCCAACAGCAGCATCACGGCGATCCAGGGCCATCCATGACCTTTTTACCATCTTTCATTGGTAGGAATCGGATTTTTCCAGAGTCGTACCATACCAGCTTTGATCACACATTAATAGTAGTGCTCTCCAAATTCCTACTAACATAGTATCATACATACTGCCATAACACATACGCTATCATACTAAAAAATGATATCTTCCAAGTTCACCGTTGATTCGCGCCGATTCGCGATCTGCCTTGGAGTTTGACCGCGTACCCCTGCCTTATTCGCTTCCCATTAACCCCTAATTAGGCAGGTCAACCAACTAAAGAACCTTTGTGCCGCGTCAGTACAGACATCGCATTGAATCGCAAAGTGCAAATGGTATAGTGCAAGGCATAGTATAGTATAGTATAGTCTAGTCTAGTATAATATAGTATGAGGCCTCGATCGATAAGTACGGACATATAGCATAGTGTATTTGAGAAATGTTGGGAATAACCTCGAGTGTAATACACTAAGCAATACATAAGCAATGAGGCAGAAATTAAACTAACGCCAATGACGTGCTCGACACCGTGTTTCCAGACGCCTTACGAGATGCGATAAATTATGAAACACGGGAATTCCAGGCCCGTGGCCGCCATCAGACTGGTCAAGACCCCAGCCCAAAGGTCCGTCTCGTCCGGTGAGATGCCTGGTCATAGTAGGCCATACTATGTACTATGATAGCTAAGGTTCCCCACGAGTCTAGTGGTGAGCAGTTGTCTGTACATAAGCATTCCCCAGTAATCATCAGGCCATACCTTTCACCCGGTAATACCATGGAGCGTCAGCCAGAATAGACGGTGAAGCATATTCAGACACGGCCCTCCTCCAGCGCAGCCATAGAATGCGCAATGGCCACTCCTCTTGCGCTGACGAGAGACAACCCCCAAATCGCCCGTCGCCGCTATTCGCGCTGTCGAAATTGGCGCAAAGCCTTTGGTGAGCATGAGAGGCCGGAGGGTGCGTTAGTAGGTCAGGCGAGGCTCACGCTGGGCGCCGATGACGCCCAACATGAATGACTGGCAATGCGGATACGGCCAGGTGATAGAGTCAAGGCTCTAGGACAGCTTCATGGTCAGATCGAGTCGAGAGACTTACCATAGATCTTGCCCTGTATTGGTCTGGTCGTCTGAGCGTCTGAGACCGGATACAATGAATCATCTTTGTTTAGGCCAAACCTCCAATGCTAGTTTGTTGGTGCATTGGTAGCATTCTAACGGCTACTGGGAGGAATTGAAGGATTTACAGGCCAGATTTCGGGTCCGTGTTTCTAAGCTATTGCTTGTTCGGCCTATCCTTTGAATAGGCTATCATTCAGTGGAGACAGTTATGAAAGTCTGCATACTGATGGCCCCTTTTCGTGAAAGGAGTCCAGTTACTCAAACTGGTACAAGATTATTGCTATCAACTCCCTCAGCATTCAAGATGTTTATTGGTGTATGTTGAATAGATTGTATCTGATTGGGCACATTAAGACACTGTTCTGAAGACCCCTAAAACAAATTATACTCATTGGCTGGACCAGCACAGGTAATTGGTTATTATACTCCTCCCCGCAAATACTATACTGAGCCTAACAGACCTTTTCGGTCACAATATATTATGAATGAAGATCAGACTACATGAGATATCTGATAATAAGACGAGCTCGTCAAGAAATGGGCGGGAAACAACCATCGGTTCGGAGTATCCGACTGCAGATGTAAAATCCGGCGAGCTGATAACTCGGACTGTGACATTCTGAAAAAAAAAACAACCACAAGGGGGCGTCATCCTTAAGGAAGCTCCATTCTACGAGGTGTAGCGTAGAAGGGACGCACGTGGTCATCATAATGAGCACTCGGCACTGTACATACCAATATTGCAAACAATATGTTAAACCAGCCAACTATTCTAGTCTTTGCCATACCTCATAAATTTTATTTCTCATGGTCTCGTGGCCAAGAGACCTAGGATGGAACGTCTTGCCGTAATATGTTGGGACGTACCACATCGAGTTCTCAGCAATGAAGTCTCCACGGGCAAGCTGCAAGCTCGGGTCTTGATGCTTCGCCATGGCCATATAACACAAAGCCAATCGGCCCCAATCCCCAGATGCTTGTGCAGGCTCAAGACACGACAATGGGTCAACCAGAACCGATGTTGGGGGCAAAGTCTGAAGGTCAGAAATATGATTTGATCGGGTTCCATTTCTGGCGTTATCCGGACCGCCTACGAGGAAAAACCACGTATCTTTGCGGTCGTAATCAGGCTCTTTCACACCCTCCTCGCAGAACCGATGACCATCGAACCCCTTGTCATAATCAATAAAGATGACCTTATCCTTGGTAAACCGCGAGTTTATCGTGTTGATGGTCCTACGGATCTTGGCGTTGACGGTGAGTACCATTGTATTCATCTGACTCCTCAGGTCCTTTTTCAGCTTCGGCCCACGCCACCAGACGCCAAAGCTCATCTCGTCGCAGTCGTCAGTGGCATCGTTAAAGAACCGGGCGTATCCCGTGACCGTAATTGTGAACGAGGGCTTCTTCTCCCAGCGGACCTTGTCGAGGATTTCCATGATGATGATCTCCAGGCGGTGTTCGAATTCATCGCTCTCGATCTGGTCCCGTGTGTTCTTGAGGGCCGTCTCGCAGGTACCAGAGTAGAAGTTGTAGAAGCGAAACACACATGCATTCATTACGTCAAAGAAGCCAAGATCATTCCCACCGATTGACAACAGCGCAAAGTCTACTGGTAGTGAAGCGTTGAAAGCGTCGATCTGGCTATCATGACTGCCGTCACGACTGGACAGAATCTCTTGGGTCGTGGCTCCTGTACAGGACAGAAATTGGAATGTCGTGGAATTCCGTCCACCTTGACCGGCCAACAAATCGGAAGCGATTAAAACACTATGGGCACCTAAACCCTGCCGACAGTCATCCTCCTTGCCATCTACGCCGGTGCCAATTCCAGCACTATAGGAATCACCCAAAGCAATGAAGCCGGTTACTGAGCTAATGTCCTCCGATGAGGCTGAGGAGATAGGGAGTGGAGGTTGTCGATGATGGCCTGACACGCTGTTTCCGATAACATATTGACTCCCCGGAACGATTAGTCGACGCTGTTGAAACGCGCGACCAGAAACAACTCCGGAGGAGACAACAAAGGTGAGTACAGCAGCCAGGCGCATAGCGAAGCTAAGCTTCATTAAGGCCGTATGTCAAGATACATAGCTCGAGTAGTATAAGTTCCCGAACTTGAGGTAGAATATATGAATATAGACATTTGATGGATCTAGGCAACTATTTAGGAGATAAGACGAAGAAGGTCACGTCGACTACGTTGTATGCGTTGTTTGCATTGTGCCGCAGACTATACTATGTAAGGTGAAGTCACAAGACCAAACCAATAAGAAACGCTAAGCCAATGCCTTATGCACATGTGCAATGTTGGGGTCCTGATTCCTTCTGGTTTGGCGGTTATCTGCACGTTATCTGCCCGGTTATCTTGTCTCCTCTTCAGTTATCTGTAACCGTAGTATAAAAGACTTCGGCCACACGTGGCGTAGTTAATCAAACTTACTCCTATATCTTTTATGTACGGTATAGTTATACGTTATACGGAACCCTTAATATTGGGAATTCGTAATACAATGTGCCTAGAAAAACCCATGCACAATCCTCTTTGCAAAGCAATTCGCATTAGATATATTAATAAATCTAAATGACTATGTTAAGTTTGTCGTGTCATTTATTAGAATCCAACATGTATTAATGTTTTGAGTATTTTCCAACAATATATTTCTAAGAATAATAGCAGAAACATTGTTAGATACTAAAAGCGGTGGAAATAACTCCATCTCTACCTAATCAAGGCTGATTTCGGTTGTGTGGAATCTTGAAATTCCCAGCTGGTTGGTAACGGCATTTATTATTCCTTCGGGCAATTCTCGTCATTTAAGTGGCATATTACAAGACAGCAACTACCTAAGGTTAGGACCTGAGGAAGCCACTTATTATATGCATTCGCAACAAATGTCTAAAGTTAGGTAAAGTGTGGAAACAGCTGAAAGGTGCTTGCTTCTTGCTGCAGCTCATATTGATGTAAGCTCAAACGATTCCGAGCTAGAAACACAATGACGTCAATATCTCTTTAACCCCACCAACGTCATCGCCCATCTATTCCTCATATCTTCCCCCCGCCTAAGCTTGTTCTAGATATGCAACATTATTTTCGACCATTCATACGTATGCAGAAGTAACTAAATCGATTGTCAGGTTTACCTTCATTGGCCAAAAGCTTCCTTGGAAACTCAGTCTCGAGATCGAGATCAATACGACGCCTTGATATCTACTTGGCTGTAGCACATAGCCCTTACGTATAAGTCAGTATGTAAGTCGGTCTATACACCTAGGTAATTAGGTCAGTGGCAACCAATCCAAAGCTTCAATCCCAGATTCGGCTTCATTTAGACAAGCCACATATCCTCGTATGCCGAAAGGAAGGAATACGGGGCTTACAAGGAACTTCTTTGTGCGTTAACCTTGCCGTCTTAAGCGGTCATTCTTCTCTTACAGGGAACAAGTCGTATGCCATCATAAAATACGTCAGAGACAAACCCACTATATCCTGTTATAGTCTATATAGCAAATATATCCATATAATATGTACCTTGCCCTACTACTTAATCTTGGCCATTCTTAATTCTCCAGATTTACATGACCTTTTACGACCTAAGCATAAACAAGCTTTATATTCCTTAACTGCCAAGCATACGACATTAGATACCTAACCCTCCTGCATACCTACATACCTACATACATATCTATCTAGCATATTACTCTTAAGATCTAATTCGCTATGGAGACTGTAAGCAACGTAGCTTCTGCGGCTGTTAAGGCAGTCTGGGGCGAGAATAAGCAAAACGGCCCGGAGCCTATCTCAGGTCAGACTGGCGATACCTCTAAAGGTGAACCGTACGATGCTGGCAACATTGGTAATATTATTTTGCAGATATGTCATTATCCAAGTTAAAAACTAACACGAGCTTTCCAGAAGATCCTAAAGTCCAAGCTGCCAAAGCAGAAACCAACGGCGAAACCAATGGCCAGGTCAACAAATCAACAGAATACACTAAAGATGCAGAGTTCTCCAAGGATACAGGCACTGCAGTAGAGGCCAAGGACACGCCAGACAACCCGTCGACAAATCTCAAGTCAAACAGCATACCCGACGACACAACCAAAGCTCAGAACGACGTGCGCAGCCCAGATGACCCGAAGACGAACCCCAAGTCCGCGCCTATTGATGTCAACGACACCGAGGACGGTCCGAACGAGGCCCAGAAGCTAGATGGCCCTGGACCCAAGCCGCTCGACGAGATAGCGCGCGAGCACGGCGGCGACGCGGGGAAAATAGAAAAGGACGAGAGCAAACCGCTTCCTGGCGAGGAAAGCGAGAGTAAGAGTAGCGGCGAAGACGAAGACGGCCCCAACGCGAAGAGTACCGGCGAGGGCACCGGGGAGCAGTACGTCAAGAGCAGCGGGCTGCAGGCCGACGGCGGAGACTTTGACGCTACGAAGCCAGGGGCAGGCAGGGAAGCTGACCGTAAGTTCACCATGCTACATCACATATAGGGTAAAACCACTAACAAGAAACCAGGTCTGCTAGAGGAGAAGGGAATCCATCCTGTCGGCGGCGCGAAAGACGACAACAATGATGATGCGTCGGAGCATAGCGACAAGAAGGACAAGGATAAGAAGAGCATCGGGCAGAAGATCAAGGATAAATTGCACCGACACTAATTTCGCCGGCCGTGTCGACTTTATGATAATGATGATCTATGATTTCCGAGAACCGCGAAGCTCGCTTTGTTTGACTGGTGCGGCGATATAGGAATAATGTCGCCGTCAAGTTTGAGCGTCTTTCACTTTGCGGCGTCTGTACTGTTATTATTACTACCTAGTTATGATGTAATATGAAATATTTCTACCGTTACTTCGTATGAGATGTTATCCGTCCTCTTGAGGAGAACAGGTCGTCTTAGTTATTTGTTATATCATGTTGTTAGTGTATTTGATATGATTTTTGTTCATTCTAGTTTGTTCACAAAGTCTTAGCAGCTAATCCCTGTTGCAAGAGAGTCGAAATTTATAACGATTAAGTGTTTTGTCTCTCCCTGTTGTCTGCCTCCTACATTATAGGATATATCAAATAATGTATCGTAATCCCCTTAGGGAAAAGGTAGGGATCTTATGGCCATATAGAAACGCTTACATAGATCTTCCTATAGCAGAAATTAAAGACATCGATATCAATCTGAACAGAGCAAACCCCATACCAAAAGTCAGATTATCCGTCTGATAGTTCCCCTATCTGTATGCTTTGAGTTTAGCTTAACTACAAGATATTAGGGGATATGAATCGACTACCCTCTTATAGTAGGTATCCAGGCCGAGCTGTATAGTAAACTCTATCGCCTCCGTCCTACGTAGAAGTATGGGGGAAAAGTTTTCCTATTTATGATGTACAACATTATAAAACACCAGCAGTCCCGTGTCACATAGCTTAAAATCAGACAGCTACAGTATATGACAAGTTAATGTTAAACAAACTATATACACGACTAAAGCCGAAGAGGGAACTATATACAGCAACGGCAGTAATTAAAAGGTCACTCGACCCAGCCTCGAAGAAACACCGATGAACAACACAAACCAGATACCCCCATGTGCCCGTATCTAAACTAGGGCAGCTAAGAAAGCAGTTAGATAGCTGGGTATAAGGTATAAGGGGACCAAAAGCAATGCAGCCTCAAAACGACAATATGCAAGAACCAGCCCACAGGGCAAACGAAAGACGCAGGGAAGAAAACGACCGATCCTAGACCCTGGATTCAAGATCCAATTCCCATGCAGATAAAAACAAATGCTCTCCCCTCCTAACGCCGGGGCGAGCCCAAAAAAGCCTAAAAATATCCACAGCGAGTGTACGAAGCCAAAGCCGATAGTTAGGTACCTATATACACGTACACAGATCAACCAAACTCCGTTATTTGATATGCAGCATCTTCTTCAGCGCGCTAAACAGGCTCTTCAGCTTGCTCAGCCAAGCAGGGGTCGTATCCGGGGTCTTGTTCTTGTCCCCGCCGTCCTTTTCCTTGCCGCCGCCGCCGTTCGAAGGGCCGTTGGAGGCCGGCCCGCCGACCGTCACCGTTAGAAGCTCCGGGTTGGCGTCAAAGACGGTACCTGCCTGGTCTGGGCCCGCGTCGCCCGAGGGCACTACGTCGTCGTATGGGAAGGCGTAGCCGCGGCCGTCGAGGTTGACTTCGTGGGTCTGGGAGGGAATGTTAGTAAAGATGAATATGAATAGGTAGCTAATGTAAAAATTAAATTGATCTGGTTTTTTATGTGGTTATGCATGGGAGAGAGGGCGGGAAGAGAAAAGAGGGTTGGGGGTTGGGGGTTGGGGGTTAGGGAGGTATGCCGACCAAGGCAAAAGAAAAAGAAATAAAAATCTAGTAGACATACGATACGCGCATAATGGTTAGTCGGGGTAGTCTTATAATAATTCGCAATCTGCTCCCCATCCGGCTGCTTCGCATCATCCAGCAGCGTAGAGCGGTTCAACGCCGCCGCGATCCTCGCGCCTAGCGCCCCCATCTCGTCGCGCGTCTCCTCGGGGTAACTACCAAACGGCCCCGTCGAGCAGCTGAATATGTCGCCGGCGCTGGGCTTCGCGAAGGTCCCCACGTTCGGGAACGTCAGCAGGTCGCCTTGCACTCGCCCGGTAACGTCTCCCCACGAGGCCTGCGTGTTGATCGTTAGGTCGGTGGACGTGTACTTGCTCCACACTTGGTTAACGTAGTCGTCGTAGTACCCCTGGAATAAGTTCGCGTCTGCTACACGGCCGCTGTTCGGGCTCAGCGCGCGCAGCGTCTTGCCGTCGGACCCCTTCACGATCAGCTTATCCCAGCCGGCTCCATCTGCTGCATTCTGCTGCGTTAGCTTGTCGGCAACCGTGTCCAGACCACCCGCGGGTAGGCCTTGAACGGTCTGGACGTTGCCGGCGGTGTTGCGCAGCTCGAGGGCGATGGGTAACGGGCCCACGAAGTCTACATAGCTGATGTTGACGAACAGCTGCTCCGAGTTGTACGTGAACTCGCAGAAGCCCCACGGGATGTTGTAATTAGCGTCCGCGGAGTTGGTCACACTAGGCTCGACAACGGCGGGGCCTGGGTTCAGTAGGAATGTCAGCTTGGAGCCTGTGCTGAACCAGATGCGGCCACCGGCGATTTGGGGTATCGTGACGGAGGTCGAGGCACCGGGCTCGCCGAGCGGGATAGAAACATCGGCTTCGAGGGCTGACTGGGGCGCGGAAGGGGATGACGGCCGGTACACGGTCGTGCCGTCGGCTTGGATAAACAACGGGACGTTGTTGTTGTTCAGGTCTAGGCCGGTGATATAGGCGTATGCTTGGGACGAGCCCGTGTTGTTCTTGATAGCTATCGCAGTCGTGGGATTCGTCATCTTGCCGGGCTTCCTACTCTGCTAGAACACGTATAGTTATAAAGGTAAGTAAATCGAAGCCGAGCTAACTTTAGCCGATATGTATATAGGATTATATTTAAAGTTCCGAGAACATGTAGTTAGGCTTTCTTTGGTTTTAAATGTGAGATGAGGTTTAGATATACAGCTAGAGGTATAGGGGTTCCAAGAGAATCCTAAGTCTAGGAGTAGATTTTGCGAGCATGTGCTCGGGATTCCTTGTTATAGGAGGCAACTTGTGACCATCAAGAAGTAGAGACGTATAATGACAAGAAGTGATAAAAGCCAACCGAGCATATGGGAGCGAATACCGTATACGTAAGGTAAAAACCAGCCGTTCAGTTGATGTCCCCCTAGGTCGGGCTTGTGAGCTGGGCCTACGATCATTTGATATCCAGTTCTGTCAACCAGTACCTGAAAAAGCAAGTCTATGATAGGTCGTATATACGCCGACCATAGGGAGAAGGCTTTGTCCGGGTTATTTCTTGAAAATCTAACCAAGCTCCAAGGAGAAGTGGTATCATGTGTTGTCGATGTGACGAACTTCATGTGATAAGTGATTCGAACCATGGTTAAGGACATCGCAAATAGGGTCGCAGTACTCGCACAGCCTCTTCAAGCCACTCATACTATGTATGTCATAGCACATGGTAAAGATGAAAACATGAGAAGTTTGAAATCGACAGGTTTTCATGATAACGTGTGTGGTATCCGGATATCAAACCTTGACCGGCTGACGAGGGTAAAAGCAACAACAAGGAATATAACTTGGTAGAAAGATACAAAAAAGAGGAACCAAGAAAAAAGGGAAAAGATGACTGTGAAACATGAGGTATGACGTCTCATCCATGATGAAAATCTTTAATGGTTTAGGCTATGTCATCGACTTGTGTATTGTAAGGGTAGACTTAACCTGCGAGGCTAGATGAGATTGTTTCACCCTACGGATCCAATAAAAGCCGTTACCAATTATAGCTATGTGAACACGCGCGTTGGTGTCTCGGAGGTTACATCCAAAGAAGAAGGCCGCCGGTGGACAACATGAGTGCGCCGTCGTGGTAGAAGGTGGTCGGGCCGTACCCGGCCGTCGGCGTCTCTATACGTAATATAAATGCGAGGAGTTTATTTGTATAGATGTTTTGAGGTCACGATCAATATACACATAATATACTACCAAGGCTGATGTGAAACAGTATAGGAAAGGTGTGGGTGTTTGACTACGTAATGGTAGTATAAATCTATATATATCTATATTTAAGGGTAATAGACGGTATAAGTATAAAGCATATAGGTTAAATATTGACAGGGGATTCTACCGTATTAACACTACCTTTAAACGTATCCGTACCTAATATTATCTAATATAATACCTAGATGTAGGTAATGAATTATCACAAGCTTTAAGTCTTACCTAAATACTTAACATACCTAAGGTATAGTTATACAATAAATGTAACCTACTATATAATTGGATCGGCCCAATTCAAAAAAAGCCGAAGACATGTTTACCTTCTCCACGATCCCCCATCCGATCGATCAAGCCTCTAAACTTTGCGAAACCACTAATAACTCACTCCTATTCGAAGGCTCAAACGCCTCCAAGCATGACCACATGTTGTGCAGAAAAAGGGGTGTGGAAGGGAGGCCACCCCAATTAGGCAGGTGGAGAGTGTTACCGCATAATGTGACTGGACCGCTCGATTATATAGAGTTCGACTTAAACATCAGCTAACCTAGCGTTGTACCTGTCTCTAGACTCCTCACTCTGCTACCGCTTATAGTAGCTTACTTAACTTGCTAATGTAAGTCAAGACGCTAGCGAATAGACGAACTCCAGTTCATTCTACCTCTAGTACGGTACCTAATATCCTTTACCTTAGGTACATGTAAGCATCTCCGCATTCCCCAGGTCCGGATGACTCGTGCGACCGCCGTCAACGATTAGCGGAAGAGGGGGAGGGGGAAAAAAACTTGCGAACCTGCAAAGCTGGGGTTGAGCTTAAAGTTGGTTGTGTCACCAGGGGGATCCCCAGGCTACCCTCCCTGCGACGAGATCGTCGAGTTAAGTTCCTCCTTGTCCGTTGGTTGCACACATCCAGCGCGCGTCACGAGATACTCTTATAAAGGAAACAAGTAAGACAGATCATTTCTCTCTTATTCTAAAATTTTAATTATGGAGTTTTTGGCTTGTGAATATACCTACATATATAACTAATATCATTGGTAATGTGTTACAATATGAGTTATTAGTAACGTTGCACTTCTAGCACATGATTAAATTTTATATATAAGTTTATTGAGATAAATAATAATAGTAGATATAGGGTTTTGACTTATTAAGTTAAATATATTACATATAAACTGCGCAATATTTATAAATATCTCAATTGTCCTTGCGAGAAGAGAGAGAGAGAGATATATACATATATACAGGCAATTGAGAGCCACAGCAACAGACGGCTTTAGAAGGATCGTCCTGGCGCCGACTTGAAAAGGTATCATACAACTAAAAAGTGCTATAGCTTAACAACCCCGCGCCATAATCAAAATGCTAGAATATGCTTGTCCGAATCGCCTCTATCATCCATATCACATCCTTCTAAGAATATCTAGACAGAAACTTCTTTATAAACCAACCACCCAAGTGCTAGTTGCGATAGCCGCAGCAAATGGGAGAGGTCGCCACCGCCTCGCCCGCCTTCCGTTGTTCTCGTGATAAGTCGTTTGGTTAGGTGTCATGTTCGCCACGTTGCCGAAGAAGTATGTCATGTTTCTATCGGGGATCGTACAGACTGCCGTCGGGGCTGACGGATCTTTACACCGTATCATATAATCGTCCTGTCTCGATTTCAGGGATGAATTAAAGTACGCCTTTACGTAGCTGACTGTGGTTGTGGCATCCGCCTTCGGTGGTCCCTGCGACCATCCCACATTCCCGTTGCTCCAATGCGACACCTGTAAGTTTCCGGGGGTGGACGGCACGCCGGTGCCGTTCATCTCGGTGAGAAGTTGGGCGTCCGCGTAGAAAAGCACCCTGTCCGGCAAAAAGTCGATTCTATACTCGTGGAAATCCGTAGTAGGGTCGAATGGTAAGTGAATTGTCTTGAAGTCTCCTGTCTTAGAAGCGTCAAACCCGTGGTCTTTAGACTCCTGAGATTGTAAGACGAGATTAACTGGGAACGTGTTATTGCTCTTATTGAACTCGGCTGATAAGAACTCTATGTCGATTTCTTGGGTATCATTCATATACTGATATAGACAAGATTAGCGAGTCTTTGGGATATAGAGATAGTCTTAAACGGATGACTTGTCCGTCAGGATAACTGCTCACCCAGAAGAAAGCACTACAAGTTCCTGGAATATCGGTGACCTTGATACCCGCCCTGAAGGTGCCGTGGTAATATTGAACGTCCGTCGTAGAAACGTCGGCGCAGGGAACCATTCCGTTTTTTATTTCACTTCCAACCACAAGCTTCAGACCAGCATCACCACCCTTAACCCCAGACCCACTGAATATTTGTTCGTCGGCGATATTATTTGATATGACATTTTGCGGTGTAAATGCTTGGCCATAAGGCCCTCGCGCGACCTCACTAGACATATCAAACTCCTGCGGCGACCAACCATATTCTCCATAACCCTGGGTCCTATCCGTGATATCTAGATGAATAAAGTCGCTCTCTAATAAATCGGTGAAAACGTATCGTTTGTCGTCGGTAGGCGTTATTATTGAATATCCGCATTCGCAGTCCGCTAGCACGAGGTTGAAAAAGACTGACAGCAAGGCCAAGACGCGAAGAGAAGCCATCGTGTAGCAAAGCACTCTCACGCGCGCTTGGCATTAAAAGAGAACACTTTATTGAGCTGCCGACAGATTAGGGTGTTGGAGCGGTATTGCGAAGACGAAGCAATCTTGCATGCAAAAAAAACTCGAGCAAAGGAACGATCCAGAGGGAGCGAAAGCCCATAAGGGAAAATTAAGCGTATATAGTTGATTGAGACTTCTTGATTTCATGTGAGGCAATAAGCATAAGCTAAGCAAATGAGTGACGTCCATCCATGGATACGCCTTCACACCTTCTGGAGGTGAGAATATCCCGCCATTGCTGGCAGGGACGATAAGCAAAATCATGGAGGTACCTTGGGCCAGAGCATCTCGCCTGTGAAGGATAGATTAGCTCGTACCTTTGTACTCAAAGTAAGGGCTTTCCCTTCGGTGATATTGTAATGTCATGTAGTACAATCAGGGGCTACATGTGCATATGAAATTACACTTTCCGAGTATCACGAGGTTGCAAGAATAGGTGGGAAGAACCAACGAGGGTTCGGGTGCTTGCAGCGCACAGATAGAAAAAAAAGGGGGCATCGTGGCGTCCACTTAGAGCTCAGAGATCGGTCGATTGCTTGTCTTGGTAGATACCATGATGTGATAAGCTTCACCATTCCACTGATAATCATTATCACAATAATACGATAATCGGTAATAATACCGTGTAACATCTAAATATCCGAAAGTGTGGAGAGAAGTGATATATTGAATATCTGACGCGTGTGTAGTTATCTATAACTCGACGAGAACCACTTCCAATCGAACCCAAAAAAGGTGATTAATTCAATCTGTGTACTCGCCTGTGCTTTCCGATTTACCAGACTCAAGTTTCCATCCTGAGATACCCGGTTTGCTAGTTCTATTAACATGACTCAAATTTAGGAAAGTTGAAAATGAGAAACAAAAGTGGAAATAAAAGGAGAAGAACGGGAAAGCGAAACAAAAAAACAGACGATTGCGCGCGCAAGGAGAGCATCGAATAGAAAACAACAGCCAGTATGTAGAACAAGGTATCTGACAACGGGCACATAGTAAGAAAAGACTAAAAACTTCAAGAAAAAAGTAGCAGCAGCATTAAAATAAAAATAAGAGTGCCGTAGCTAATAGAACAGAGGGGAAAGGAAGATATCACAAATGGTCCAGCCAGCCAACTGCATCACACATTATATTGCGCGCGTCGCGCTGAGGTTTCCCCTCCCCTTTTCCGCTAGGTCATCGCGAGAGCCTTCCCAATTCCGGGCCCCCCTTTAGACCATTGACGTAAGATGCAGATATCGGATGCAAACACTATTGAGAAACACAACGAGTTCCAGAAACACAACACCCTCGCGCCTGTCCAGACCTTGAATTTGAGAAGACAGTAACAAAAAGACGAACGTAGGAGGTATATGCCGCGTACACTTCTCCCACACCGCCCCTAATTAGTAGACAAAACATCAAAGAAAATCGTGAGTCTCGTAATAATTTCTAATACACACTCTCCTCGTCACCCCCTTGTGAGATCATAGAGGGCGTCGAGACGTTGGATGATGCTTCAACATCATCCACGTAGCCAACTAGTGCTTGAGAGTGAAGTCGGAAAGCTTCGCCCATAAGTCGGGTAATGCTATAGAATAAAGTTAGTTTCGTATCAAAAAGTAGAGATTTGCATGTCGACTTACCCCCAAACAACTACTTCATCGAGCATGGAGCCCCAGAGATGAGCCACGGTCGAACTTAGCTGTTGCGAGTTCATAGCACCCTCTGCATCCTTATCGAAGAGACTCCTAACCTTCAGGTACATAGCCATCTCTTCCTCGGAAGCAGCTTCTTCGTCATGTTCCAGACGATATAGCCACAACGTGAGGGTGATCATGAGATCCATGCCACACAGAGGGTGTTCGATGCTCCAGTTGGTCGGAGAGGTACGCGCAACCCAGCGCACGCCTTGACGGACAGCAGTTTCGATGCAGTTGTAGCACTCGTCGATTACCTTGATCATTTCACTGGAGCGCTTTACTCTGTCGCGTGCGTTTGACATAGCGGCAGCTACTTCGTAGTGATCATGGTACCGGAGCGCTTCTTGAACTGTCTTCAAGTCGACTTCCAGGCGAGCACGGGCGTTACGATACATTGCTTTGGCATTGAAGATTAGAGGATGCCCCTTGTGAGGCGCGCTGAGCGGGACCGTATCAGCCTCAGGCTCGCAGAGATCTAGAGATTTCTCCCACGTCTCTAGAGCCATTCGGAGCTTGTACTCAGTCACCACATCTTGGAGAGCCTCAGGGCTACGCTTATGATACCAAACTTCGAGGAACAATGCGTTGATCATAACACGCGTTGCGAAGGCGCTATATTTTAACATCACACCCTGGAAAAGGTTTTCGTGAGCAACCATAAATGTAACTGCAGGTGATCCTTTTAACTGTTCTTGCCAGGCAGCTTCGTCAGTGACCTTAGAATTCCAAAGCGCCTCCTGGGAGGGAAGTTGGAGGTCCTCAAACTCGTTGAAACTAATCGCAGGTGTGTGATTGTATGTTAGAGTGAGCAACCCGAAAAAGATGTAGACAGCATAGTACGTGCGCCGACAACCTTCATCCTCGATCCATTCGTCACGGTTTGGCTGCGCACCCTCGCGACCATCTTGCCGAAGCTTCAACTCATAGCGATTACCAGCCACCATATTAGCAAGAAGACTCTTGATAGAACATGCCCATTCTAATCCCTTCGGATCTCCACTCCAGCTGGCGAAGATCATGTTAAGAAGTGAGCCCTGCATAGTCCACAAAGGACATTTCCGGGAGCTGAAGTTCTCCTTGTTCTGCAAGAATTGGTTGACTAGTACTTTGGAACCGATATGGCACATATAGGCCTGGTCTTGGTCAAAAGCGTAGAGCGCCCCGATTGATAACACTGCAAGCAGCAAGGCGGGAGACACCTGAGTGACATCGAACGATGCAGGATGCAAGAACGGCAGGTGGTGGTGGAAGAGTGTGAAATAAGTTGATAGATAACGATTCAAAGAAGATAGGTTCGGGACACGGAAACCTTCGGGAATTGCGTGTTCGATATCGTTCGCTCGAATATTATCTAGAATTATATTTCGCTCTTCGTCGCTGTTCACTCGAGGAACGTTGAATCCACCCGAGGTCTGGGGTGGGTTAGTGGATGTGTTCACAAGAAGGGGCGCGTTTGGATTTGATATGTTGAAGGCCGCTGGGCCGGTGCTTAGAAGTGGTGAGGTTGCTACGGATTGTGACGCAGACATGTAGCTGTTATAGCTGGGACCAGGGGATAATGGCGACAGGTTGGGTTGGACCTCAATGGCACTCACATTGGCAAATTGTTGTTGCGACTCGAATGAACCCGATGCGTTCGACGTGACAGACTGGGCTTTGGTATCCATTGTCGACTGGGGAGCAAAGGAATCCCAGGGTACGCTATGAGGTAGAGGAACGGCACTGGCAGGGTAAGTAACAGCGGGGTCCATTATAGGAGCGTTATTCGGAGTGTAAGCCATTGAAGGACCAGATTCGTAAGGGCTTCCATTATCGCGCATCATGGCTTTATGGTGGAGGTCGGCTACTAGCATAGCGGCATGTTCGACGTCGAAGGCACCTTCACTACTAGCCTCAATCTGTTCACTTAAGGTAGAGGTGTCGATAGCAATGGAAGATTTGGAAGGGCCGCCGACAGATCGAGCCTTAGAGACGCCAGCGCCGGAGCGCCGCTTTCCATCACTGTGGAGAGGTACACCTCCATCTTTAGCATGAACGGTTCGGTCGTGACGAAGAAGTAGGTCGCGTCGCACGAAGGTACTTCTACACTTCATACATTTGAAAGGGCGCTCCTTTGTATCTATTCCAATTCAAGTCAGCTTTGGAGAACTCGGGGTAATGCGACTGACTACATTAAATTGATTTGATTTTGAGGTGTTGAGGGGTAGCAATTTCCAATGGGGGGGCAATGGATAGCGTGAAAGGGAGGGGTTTGGGGACTTGAAAGAGATTGGAGGGAAAGGAAAATTCGCGGTACATACGTGATCGCTCGTGTCTGCTGCGATGTTCGCTTCTACTAAATGCCCTATTACAGAACTGGCACTTATACTTCCTCTCTGGTTGCGCGAGTGAGGTCTTTCGGGCGACCGGAGTCGACGAGGCGGATGTGGGGAGGACTGCCACGCTTGCGCCCGGCATCTTGAATAATGTTTGTCGCGTTGGTTGACAATGGGTAGCTGGTATAAAAAAAGGATTCCACAGTCAATGGGCTTCTCTCGCTTTAAACAATGATTGCGGTCGATGCTCCGAAAATCGATGTTCTTGAACCTTTACACAGGCCGATCGTTGAAATCGCCTAGCTCTCCTCTCTCGCACGCGCGCTCCCGTGGGATTTAAAGTGTGTCTTCTTGACTGGACTGATGATAGTTGGTCATTTGTATCGGTATAAGGAGCATGGAATGGGCTTTGTAATAAGGTGGTACGGCCTATGCCGAAATTAATCTCGAAGCACAGACGTGTTCGAGATGATGCAGTCGTCTTATATTTGACGACGCAGAAAAAAAAAAGCTAACGATGCGCGGGTTGCGACCGTTATGAGTGAAAGAGGGGTTCGAGGGGTTGATAGAGATAGACGGGAGGAAAATGTTGAAGTTTAGGAATTTTAGAAGAAGGAGGGGGGAAAGGGACGAGGGAGCGAGGAGGGACAATGCCGGGTCAAAATGAGGGAGGGAAAATTGGATGCGCTGTGCGGGAAGTTCTGCTCTTCTTTGCAGCGCTGCGTTGTGCTGTGCTGTGCAAAAGTGGCTAGTGCAGCCAGGGAGGGGGGGGAAACAGGAGCAGCTGGGTAGGAGGTAGGTACCTAAGGTAGTTGGCTAGAATTGAATTCTTGGAGACAAGACCCCACCTGATTGAGCGAAACAAAACAGTACGTACCTAATACCGCGTACTGACACGCTAAAATTTAGGCGGCTGGGTACGAGGAGATAGCTGACGATGCTAGACGTTGCTAACGAGCGGGACCAAAAGCACGAGCCCCGATAGACTTGCAAGGACCAGTCGGATTGGCAACAAGAATGTGGGTAAGGTAGAGGGGGGGTTTACTAGGAAGGTGAGGCGGTTGTGGCTTTTTTTGGTCAAAGTGGTGAGTTGCGAGTTGCGCCGCAGGCAAAGTAGGAATGAATATGGCCCGATCGAGTTAAACAGGTGGATGCGGGCCGGCTGCACGGGTTGCTAGAAGGTGGGTGCTCTGGTGTTGTAATTAGCGGTGTTATGCAGGGCTTTACGGGTACCTTGGCGGTGGGATTGCAGCAGCTTCACAGGGCAACCGGGGATACAACTTTCTAGTGGGGATTTAACAGCTTTTTCGGAGTACCTTAACCTAGGCTCTCAGGACGCTATGTATGTAGGTATGTTTGTATTCTTTCTTTCCTTTATGGCCTTTCTAATACTTGTAAATCGATGCGGTGTGCAAACAAGGTTATTTATTCACACCGCTAATATACTGTATGCTAGTTCTGCATTGAAGCGGTTCTTATGTGTTATGCGTTAAAAATGTTAAACGTGTTCAGGTAATTCTAAACATGGGAAATTGCCAATTCTCTGCTACTTTTTCTACGGGTGTTACAAGTGTCGAGAGGGGCATATTAAAAAAAAAAAAAGTTCAAAGGTCTGGCAAAATAAAAAATAAAGCAGGTGGGATGTTTTGGCGGGGGAAATGTACAAAGTTACAAAATTTACAAAAGTTACACAAGATTACCAAGATTATCCAGGTTAAGCTTGAAATTCAAATGCAAAATCTCCAGCCACAAAAGGGGGGGCGGGGAATGAAAGGAACATTAGAAGAATAAAAGAATACATATGGACATAATGGAAATCATGCATCGCCGAGGGGTCCGTGGACAGGGAACCCGGACGTGTCTATTCTTTCTAATCCACATTTCCAGTTTCGTCTTGGCGTGCCACGTTCAATTTTGTGACCCGTGACCCGTTCGTGTCGTGTCAAAAAGAAACATTAGTTACATAATGCTCTACATTAATGCTCCGTACCTAAGATGGTCAAAACTCCTAGGCCTGTTTGTTCGGTACTCGCTCTCTGCTCGGCAAAAGTAGCAAAAGCAGCAACATGTAAATATCCCTAATTTAGCTTAGCAAACTATCTAAGTTAGTATCTACCTAAGTAGGTAAAGGTATTGCCATATTGCCATATTGCCATTGCCATATTATGTTATTGTGTCTCTGGTTTCTCTATTTGGATATTTATTGCTCCTTAGTACAGGGGAGAAATTAGCAATGTCTTGCTTCGCATTCAGTCCGTTATCTACCTAAGGTAAGATGTAAGTAATAAAGATCTGGCTCCTCCTTTGCCCTTTCTTTGCCCCTCCATCTATCACGGGTTTACATACTATGTAATACGTTGCGGCGAATCAGTGCCGCCCTGGAAGTCACGGATCATGGCAAAGAATCCTTAATCTGATGGATCTGACCACTTCATTTCCGCGTCGTTCCAACAAAAATTTAAGATTGGATGCTTTAAACGAGACTTATTACCGAAAGACTTGTATCTCATAGTTAGTTAGATTTTTTAGTATCACTATGTTTACACCAGTCTTATCAACTATTCGTTTCTTCGGGGTTTGATATGATCTGCTCTCATCTCAAGGATAATAAAATAAAATACTTTTTTTTAACCCCTCCATCCCACTTTATCGCAATCAGCCTCCAAAGTTTCGCCATAAGCCCCTCCAAAAGGTACACCCTCCGTCCTTCTTAATCTAAAGTTTATACTACATATACCTAGACCAACATTATCGTAATACGTGTCATCTGTTAAGATTCGTAGTCCTTAAAACATCTTGGTAGTGTGCGATTGAAAAATGGCCTGTAAAGGTAAAGGTAAAGGATTTAATATTTCATTATGGCTGCCAATGCTGACAATACACACACATGGTAGCTAAGATCCAGTTCAGATACGACCCGAAGCCATGTCGTCACGTATACGTTAGGTACATAGATTCCCCCAACGTGAAAAGTAGGTGTGTGCAACAATATATTCAACGGCGGCTATGTTGATCAGCAAACACCATCCTAAAATAGCGTCAACAAGCCTGAACGACTCGACGTTGAGTAGTCAGCCGACTGTAAGCTGACCATCCGCCTCGCTTCCGATATGCACGAAACTGGAGCAGCGAGGCTACATATGTATAGTGTGCTGCCGAAAAAAGGACCTCTTAAGTTTATAACCCTAAACTTACCTACTGCTTCAAAGGGTGCAGATAGTATAGATAGCTAACGATATACATGTCGCATGCTTGTTAATGAAATGAAACGTGGTAGAACGCTGCTGGCAAGTGTCGAGAACTTGTCCTTCGATGATTTATCCTTCTCATCATACTATGTAATGACCTTACTGGACAAAAGTCATCATGATCATGAACATTTTCTACTCCTATGTAATGTAGAGCCTCCAATATCGGATGCATCTCCATGAAGGTGGTCCCAATTATCTTTTCATTGTGGTTTGCCGAATGCGAAATCCTACCTCACCGGTCCTCTTACAAATGGTGAGGGGTTGAAAGTTGAGAGCGGGGCAGCCGACGGCTTTCATGAGGGGCTTGGGGCTTGGGCTTGGGCTTGTCTGATAATGCAAGTAGTTTAAGTATTCCGTACCTTAGGTAACGTAGGGGAAGATACTCCTATATTCCTACATACGGTACATACCTAACACCTAATCTAGACACAACCTAATCATATACTTAGCGGAATATATGTAGGTACCTATGAAATATCTGAGTAGATGAGCAATCCTTTTCTCCCTTCTTATTCGTAATTATTTTTGCTGTCGCAAATGGTGCCCTACAACTTCATAGGCTTAGTTGCATTTATTTTAGTTTAGTATGTATTGATAGTATCAATATTTATTTTTGGCCTTTTCAACGTCGCAAGTAAGAAACCCTCTTATCTCGGCAATGGCCGGTGTCACTCTAAACAACACTTCCCCTTTTTGTCACCAAATTTATGTAAGTTGCAGCAGTTCCCCGTAAATTACCTTAACAAGACGGCTGCCCTTGCGAATTCCTGTAAAGCCGGAAGTCCGTTGGCCCACAGGCCCCACGGCGCTTGGAGGTTCCCCGATGCTGGATACCCTCGACATCACGGGACAAGCGCGAAGCCCCTCTGAGGCTTCGAGACGGAAACATACTCCGTTCGTCTTGATCGCGTGGCAGTCCACGAGAGGACTAATGAGCACATCATGCTTGAATAGCGGAGGTATAGAAGACAGCTTCGTTCTTTAATAAATCCATACTTTGCAAATAACCGAACCATTTAACATATTAATGAGCACTTATGACCTACCAAAATATACAAGTCAACAAAAATTTCTAACAGAAGCTCCGACGTTACACTCGAACTCGACCCCTGGGAATAAATAGGATTGGAAACCCGGCTTCGAGAATAAAAACTAACGATAGCCGACAGGTGGTTGACCATTGTGTTGGCGTCTTAGCACTTCTAGATGGTATTGGCTGTTCTAGTGTAGCAGAAACGAGACGGGTAACAGGTTTGACACACTAGGAACATGAGTGGAGTTATATATACCTACCTAAACTATCCACATCTACAACACTAAGGCACCGGAATGAAATAGTCTACTTAAAGGTGCATCGTCACTTGATTCTGGAGTACAGCAGATCTTCCGCAATTCGACGTCTTGATTAGCTCCCGCTCATGTAAACGTGAAGTTAGAAATTGCGGCTGGTGCCGTTGATAACAACACTGCATTATCTAGAGATCTGCTGACCTGATTGATAAAGGAATATGGGGTAGTTGGAATCGAATGATATGCACACAGTCTTTGCGCGGCCTTGGAGTTTAACAGAACTTATGATCCTTGGACTCTCATAATAATACGTCTTATATACCTATACTACCTAGAGCAAGAATCGGAATAGTCGAAACTGGAAAAGGCGAGGTTCTGGGGTTCGCGGGACTCTTCCGGTGATCTCCACGTGTGCTAACCTACATCGATCATCAGGCCCAAGTGAGCCTAGTGTAGGTAATATCCGCTCTACAATTGTCAATAGGAGAGAACTAATTTCTTCCAGGATCCACTTGACGCGATTCCCGGGTCTCATATTTCATCATAAATGATACCTTCAAGGCTATTGCTTAGGAACAACATACTAGACAAATATGAGACA